TAATGTAAAACATTACTTTGAAATGGCGGAGAAGGTAATGTCTGCTTCAGTTACTGTTACGCAGTAACTACTTATTTAAGACGTTGCATACCGAGAAAGACAATATTCGGATTATTTTGCGAATGGATCCAGAATGTCCAGCTAAAAAAAACATGGAGTTTTATTTTAAAAAAAGTTCAGAGGTCATCCAAGAAGCACCATAGTTACAACGCTGAACCGAGACATTCACAGAACTAGGCAGAAAGATCCCACTTTTCCTTTGGAGAAGTTTGCAATCAAGGAATATCTGCAACGAATCCGTAAACTCGCAGAGGATACAGAAGGCTGGTAAAATATTGTTGAATCAGTATACAATGTCACTGAAGATGAGAGAACATGTTAATTCATGACTTCAAATCGAAACAGTTTTGAAGATGATAAGTATTACTAATGAATGAGAGTAAACAGGAAGATAGTAGATAACTACTGATAACTAAGATAATCTTTTTTTTTCAAAGTTGGCTGGAAAGTATGGAGCCGGAAGAGCTATTTAAATGTGATATGGCCGTAAGGCTGTGGCGGCCGGAAATTCATCCTCTTGGGGGTCGGTTTCACAAAGTAACGGTTCGTGAGAAGCTGTTCGAATGGAACTTAATTATTGATAATGACATATGAAGGAAATGAAGGTGCTTTGCCTCAGGTCTGGTGGAACTAAGGAATGTGGCGCTTTAGAGCGTTTGTCATTGGAAGAGCGATAGACTAGCGTTCTGTGAGAAAGTGGTTGTAGGGTAGAAAATAATTCAACGCTTTTGGAAAGTGAAAACTGGGCAGCTCCTGCTCACATATGGCAGCTGTACTCGATTTTTTCGGCCTGATTTGGCTCATGTAAAGATAGAAGATAGCAGGATGAGTAAATTACTTAATATCACAGAACAGGAACGAACGTTTTTCCAGCAGCTGGAAAATGACGTTGGCGGTAGTACCCGTTATCCCTGGAGTATTAGAAACGGATTTTCAGACACCGCGTAATATTAGGCACCCCTGTTAACTACTCTGGTGTCATGTTTCATTAGCTTTATTTATTGTTCTTCTTATGTGTGCCATGTCACTTGAGGACGTTGGTGATCATGGCTCTCCACAATTTCCTGTCCTTTATAACTCTTTGTAAATTTTTCTTTTTGTTATCTCTCCTAACTCCTAATCTGCCATCCATTTAAACAAACTCGTTGGGTCGGTAATTGCGTTGTTTATATTGTGCCTTCTTGCCTTCAATCTTTCTTGTGAGTATCAAACTTTTAAACCGTCTTTCTTCATTATGCGCCCTAGAAATTTCAACCGTCTCTCTGATGTTACCTATAAATGTCCTGTTTGTTTCCCTTTTCATTAATTCGTCATTGCTCATGTTATGGTGTCCTCCCCTTTTTCATAAAAGTGGACTCTACCAGTGTTACTTGGACTGCTGCCGTTAAATACCCAGTCAGTCAGAATAGACGAACGGAGATAGAGATGGTGATTAAGTTGGAGGTAGAGTAATAGTGTGAGGTAACCTCTTGTAGAAGTCAGTTACAAGCACGTAGACTATAAGGAAGTTCTACTTCGAGACTGTATATATCTATCTGTATTTGCTACTAACCACGTTCCTGGATTTACTAACAGTATTACCCTTTGTATGATTGTGTAAATACATTTAGATTTCTTATATTTAATTCTTGCGTTTGTCTTTCATTGGAGACCGAATTTCATCTCGGAATCCACAACAGCTCACATGTTCGGTCGATGGTATTGTCAACATCCTTCTGTAGACCCGCATTTCTATTGCTTTAAGTCTTTCTAACTTCTTTTTAAAAATCATTTCACCACAAGCAATTGTGTAGAGAATATGAGAGAATAAAACAAAACAAAAAATAACACTACTATTAAGGAGAAATAACTCTAAAAGAACAGGAATTAAGAAAACAGAGATGACGATTGACATTGCATTTGAATTTATGAAGAACAAAGCTGACCGTGAAACAAGAAACCGAAAGAGAGTTCCATAACCGAGAAATGTAAGAGAAGAAACTGTTAGCAAAGAACTCACATCTCGCCATTTCAACTGTAAAATGATGAGACCTTTCCACCAATCTACTTTTTATGTGCCGTGTCCTTTCAGGACGTAGGCGACCATGGCTCTCCACATCCTTCTATCCCTTGCAGCTCTCAACAAGTTCCTTCCCTCTGCTACCTCCCCTAGACCACGTTCTGTCAACCACTTGCTTAAGCCCGCTAGGTATGCCATGCGTTGTTTTCCCTTGTCTCTCTTTCCCTCTATTCGACCAGTGAGTGTCAGATTCTCCAGGCCCTCCTTCCTCATTATGTGTCCCAGAAACTTCAGCTGCCTCTTTCTGATGTCAACTATAAGCCTCCTTGTTTGCATCCTCGCTAAGCCCTCATAGTTGCTCATACGCTCGGTCCATGATATCCTTAGCATCCTTCTGTAGAACCACATCTCCGTCGCCTCGAGTCTTTTTTTTCATCTTTTGAGGAAATCGTCCAACATTCGCTGCCGTAAAGGACAGATGTCACGTAACAGCTCAGTATTCTTATCTTCGTTATCAAAGAAATCCTCCTGTCTCGCAATGCTCTGCCCAGCTTTTGGAGTGCGTCCTTGACCATCCCTATACGTCTACGGATGTCAGATTCGCATTTACCGTCCTCTTGACAGAGGACGGTAAATGCGACTCTGAACGCTTCCCAGATATTTAAATTTTCGCGTCTGCTTGCATAATATTTAGGTACCATAGATGAATGTTCATAAGAAGAATTATCATGAAAGTATTTGTACAAAAGGCACAGGGAAGCTATGTTATGGCGGTGGAAAACTGACTGAAGCCGAAGTGCCAGGTCAGGACAAGCAACATTGTAGATTCTTCTTTGAATCTCTAAATATGTAGCAGAAGCACCGGACCATATGTGACAACAATATTCAAAGCAAGGACGTGATGCGATCATCCAATATTCACTGTCATATAGGAGGACTTCGTTTTTAACGGAAATTTTCTTGTTTTGCAATACTTTGCTTAGCTTCTGGTAGACAACTTTTGCTATCCCAATGTGTCTTCGTATTTTGGTGTCGCAGATTACGTCCTCTGTTAAAACACATCCCAGATATTTAAATTCTTGTAATTGCTTGATTCCCATTTTTTTACTTTGCATGTTGGGTTGTCCATTTTGCTGTCAGTATTTTAATCCTGCATACTGTTGTGACCAAGTAAATGGTTAAGTAATAACAAAAACCAAGTTTGCAGATATATCGTATATTAAATAGTAAGTACAACAGAAGAGTATTACACGACTAGTGAGAGTGTATCGTATGAACCAGCACTCAATCTATTCCCTGTTCGCTGTTCCTTCTCTCCTACTAAACTTATAGTAGACGGAAGAGTCTAACATAGACATCACAACACATACAATCTCCAAGCTGTTAGAATTATAGTTAACCAGAGGTTTTCGGATATTTTGCTAGAATAGTTTGAAACAAATTCACATAGTTAATGTCTTTTTTTTTTTTTTTTTAAATTAGTGTCACCCCAAGCTAGACAGTATCAACACTAACAAGCAACGGGTTACAGGGTGTGGATAAATTAGAAGCAGAAACATTAGTAATGAGTAGAAAGAGAAAAGAGCATTCAGGAGGACAGTAGATAGCGATTGATATTACATTTAGATTCTTACAGATTAAAGTTGACTAGAATGCATGGAGCAAGAAGGGTGTTCCACAAGCGTGAAGTGCGAGAAAAAAACTGTTAGCGTAGAAGTTACGGCTACGTCTAGCAACCTGAATTGTAAATTGATGCTATCTCGTCACCGGTCTAGTATTGCGCTCATACAGTCTAGGTACCATAGCAAAGAGTTCATCCGAACAGTTATCCTGAAAGTATTTATAAAATAACACAAAGAGGCGGTGGGCAAGTGACTGAAGCCGAGCCGCCAGATCAGGACCAATAATATTGCTGATTCTTCTTTGGATCTTATCAATGAGCTCAAAGTGAATAGCAGGAGCACCGGACCATATGTTGCCGCAATATTCTAAGCATAGACGAGTAGTAGACATAGATATGCAAGGCTTATATTTTTAAACTTGTTTTTAGAATGTGACAAATACATTCAAGGCTTAGACGGTCATGGCTGTCCACGGTTTCTTTTTTGTTTTTATTCGTGAATTATCATGTCATCTCGAGGAAATATAATGGAATGTTTCTCACTCTTTTCCAATTCAGAGTTGTCTTTCTAGTCTACTCTGATATTTAAGGTATAACAAAAGGAAGAAATGGTGGATTCATGCCTTTTGCAAAGATATTAGTATTAAAGTTAACACCACAGGCGAAGCTGGGGTTTGAACTCGGGTGATCGTTTCCTCTTTGCATGCCAGTAACCGTTACCCGCACATGATTCGAAATTACTTCTTTCATAATATATCATAAGTATCTTATTTGTTGTTTAAAAAAAAAGAAAGAATAATTTAACTCTGTTATTGGGTTCCTATTAATTATGCTCCCAGAATCGATAATTTTGTTGAATGTTGATAAGCAAACTTTGACCTTCGACTGGGCTCATGGATCATTATGAAAGAAGAGAAAACTTTCTAAAAGATCGGAAAAAAGTCATTATTTTTCATTCATCTCGAAAGGGAAATCGTTTTTTTTCTGTTTAATGTCGCCACGCTAATCTACCGTATCATATTTACATATTTTGCTTGCAGGCACAGCCAATATGGGCATGCGACCATATCACGTTGATATCTGGGAAGTGTTTTAATGCAGGATGGAAAGTACGACATCGAAATCCGAATTGGGATAGAGAAGTTGTCAAACAGAAACTAAGGAAAGTATTAAAAAACGGGAAAATTTCATTAATAAATTAGTAAAAGAGTACTTAATTGTAATATCGGTTCTCCTATATGGTAATGAATGCTGGGCAATATCATCACGTCCTTGCTTTGAGTTTGAATTTTACTTTCTTTATCCTGACCTTAGCCGGCTTACGACAATATAAGGCTGAAGCACATGTTCTCGTACGATCACAGAAGTTAAGCAACATCGAGTTTGGTCAGTAACTAGATGGGTGACCGCTTGGGAATACCATGTGCTGCAAGCTTGGATCTGCTTGTAGTATAATGAATAATAGCTCGGAATTGTTAATCGGAGAATCGATTTCCTATTCCAGATAGGTTCATTGTATTCACTTACACGCATTAATTTTAAAATGCGGCATATCCATTCAAAATATAGACGATCAAGGCACTCCACGCGTTGATTTTAGTTTTCATCCGTGAATTATCATGTCATCTTGAGGATATATAAGGGAGTGGTTTTCACTGTTTTCCAGTTCAAAGTCCTCCTTTTTGATTGTCTGCCACTTAGAGCTTGAGAGCTCAGTCTATCCTGATATTTAAACTACAGTGTAACCCGGATATAAGAGACCAGGATATAAGAGAAACCCGGATATAAGAGAGATTTTCTAAGGTCCCAAATTAGAGCCCATACTTACCTAAACAAAATAGACCAAACCCGGATATAAGAGAAACCCGGATATAAGAGACTTCTTATCCGGTCCCGACAACTCTCTTATATCCGGGTTACACTGTATAACAAAATGAAGAACTGGTAAAGAGGCGTGAATCCACCTCTTCTCCCCCAGTTCTTGGTTAATTATTAAGACTTGAATCAATAAATAGGAGTAGATAGGTTTGTCTATTGTCCGGTTCATACTCCTCGCAGATTTTGAACAAGAGTAGAAGTTTATCACTTGTTTCTTGTTTAGGATTGGATTTCCACTTAATTCTAAAAACTTTTCCTTGTGTAACCCTCTACCACGAGTAGCTCTTGGGCATTGTACAGAGGCTTACGGCCATACCACGTTGAAATACCAGTTCTCATCCAAACACTGAAGTTAAGCTACGTTGAACCTGGAAAGTACCTAGATGGGTGATCGCTGGCGAACTTCAGATGCCATGTTTGGAAGTACGGGTGATGTAATCGATAAAGGCTCGGAATGAGAAAACGGAGAGCCGAGTTCGAATTCCAGTCGGATTCGTTATGTTCACTTACGTGCAAATACCCTTGGGAATGGTATGAATCCACCTCTTCGCCCCCCAGCTACGGGTTAAATAGCAAGACTTTTATTATTGTTATGTCTAAAATATTCTTACAGTCCAAAAATATGTCTCGGCTTTAAATAACCCAAAAAGGTTGATAATCCGTTAAAAAACAAGTCAATCTTCTCCAGGGGGTGGATATCATTGTAAAATCACTAGACCATTATTATATCCAAAAATAAAATAAAATTGCTTACAAAATATTTAGATTTCGGCATTAAATAACCCATTATTGATTGATATACCGCTAAACAAAAACACCCACCCAACCAAACAACAATCAATATCATCAATAAAAACGTCTGAAATCTGATGTGAAATGGAATTTCTTTGTAAAACTCATTCTAGCGGGCGTTTTTGATTTTATTATTTATCTGAGAATTATAAGTAGAATTTTTTTTTCGTTTGAAAATCGCGCGTCCTATTGAATATTTCTTCATCACTGTATTTGAGATTAGTGTCGAACGGCTCGTTAACCGCGACATATCTGGGAAGAATATTAGAATAATCCAGCACCTATACCGTCAATAAAACGCCTGCATACGGATGGAAAATGAATTCAGTAAATATACAAAAATAGAAAGATGCGTTTGGGAGATTATTGGACTTTAAACTCACACTTGTTCTCAGTGGAACTCGTACATACGAGCCATCGCTAAATTTGCAGTTAAAATGGTCGGCTTGCTGTACCTCTCCAGTAAATACCTGACACCACGTACTGCCTTTACAAGAGTCAGATCAGGCCGAAAAATGGAGTATCGTTGTCATATTTGGGTTGAAGCTGAACATAACGCACTTTTCAGCCTCGATAGAATCAAAAAGCGTCTACGAGTCCTAGTGGATGGCGAATTATACTCCACCCTCTCTAACATTTCTCACAGGTTGGATGTGGCAAGCCTCTCGCAGGTCTATTGCTACTTTCACGGAAAGTGCCCGGAATAAGTACATTTCTTGGTTCCGCCAGGCCTAACCTTTACGGCAAGGACGGACCATGCAGCAAACTATCCACATTCTCCCCATATTCCATCTTAAGTTCCACTCGAACAGCTTCTTCCCGTGAACCGCTGCTCTGTGGAACCGGCTCCGAAGAGGATTTTACGCCGATCACTACAAACTTATTCATGTCTAGAGTTAACCGTAAACCTTCTTTTATATGTAAAAACTGCGCCCTAACGCAACAGTATACTTCGTTGGCCCCCTGATCTTGTACAGGGGGAAGCTTACTGTAAATAAAAAAAGACAAGGATGCGTCTTCCCAACGTATTATTTAAACTATACAGGCGATTCTGATAGAATTAGACCAGAATTCATTATTTGCGGCCACAATCTTCACGACATATGATATGCAGATATCACAGTGTTATTAGCTGACACAGAAAAGAAACCACAAGAACTCCTACAGAAAGACAGCGAGTAAAAGGACTAAGTGCAAGAAGGCTTAATGTATGGTTGTTAGCAAAAAGGCGATACCAACAAGAAAATTACAAATTGGAGATGTCAAATCAAACAATTACATTTATAAATATTTGGGAGGTGTTTTAATGGAGGATGGAAAGTTCTTAAATCCGAAGGCGCATTTGGATAGCAAACATTGCCTTTCAAAAGCATTAAGAAACAAGGAATATCCCTTTGAAACAAAGAAACGAGCACTGAACTGTTGGCAGTCAATGCTGAACAATATCTTCAAACATGAAGAAGTAAACGTTCACATTAAAGTTTAAGGACACATGGCACAGTGGATAAAGGCGTTTGTTAAATCCAAAGAGTTCTGAGTTCAAAACATGGTTTAGACATGTCACGTGGAATTAGAACGGTCTACTCCAGCGAGCGAAATAAAGGGTTCAGTTCGACATCCCAACCACCCGAAGAAGGCCGGGGCGTACATCGGCCGAAACGTTGTGATAAATATGGTAACAAAAATGAGGACAATAGTCCGAATAATGTAAATAGTTTACATAATACCTCATCTCAGAAATATAGACAGATAATGAAGAAGGAACTTGAGGTAACAGAAATGTGGTTCTACAGAAGGATACTGAGAATGTCATGGACCGAACATATGAGTAACGTAGAAGTCTTAGAGAAAATGAAAGTAAAAACGACACTTTTAATTAATTAACAAGAGAAAGAGTTAAAATTTCTAGGGTACATGATGTAGAAAGCGGTGCATGGAAAATTTGATACTCACAGGTCAGATTAAAGGCAAGAGGAACAAAGGGAAACAAGGTATAACCTTCATAGCGAGCTTGAGTAAATGGATGGAGGGTTTAGGAGATAAATAAATACAGCATACTAAAATACAGCATTTATCAAGAGCTACAAAGGACTGAAAATTGTGGAGAGCCATGATCAACAAAGTTCTGAAGGGACACAGCATATGGAAGAAAAAGAAGAAAAAGATGAAAAACAGGGAACCAGTGGCTGGAAATCCGGAAGATTTTTGTTACGTGATCCTAAATTTCCATGCAAGATTGATTAAGGACTACTCTATGGGATATTTGCAAAATGGATCTTGTTATAAAAACATGAAACACAAATGTAAATTGTTTTTACAACCCACACATACACACACACGCACACACACTCACACACACACACACACACACATATATATATACATATATACATACATACACACACACACACATATATATATATCTATATATATCTATATATATATATATTATGACAGCTATCCTCTCATTAAATGAATCTGACCATCCTAGACAAACATTAACGGCTATGAAACCAACAATGGTGCATGAAGTTGCAAGTTATTTGCAAGATTTATTGCAGAGATGTCAAATCTAGGCCATTAATTGTTGAGGGAGTTTGTGTCTCCTGGGTTAGCCGGCTGCAGATTTTCAAGCGTCTGGTCAAATTGAAACGAACACAATTTACCACCCTGTATACAGTTAAGGTCGTATTTATCCTGATATATTTGGTGATTATAGCTGGGTCTCTGTGATTGACAAGGCCTGCTTGGGATAAACATGTGGGTTGAAAATATCGATTAAATTCAGCGAAAATGATTAAACAAGGTACAATATAGAAAAACTTTTACAAATCAAACAGGTTTACGTTCCTCATAAAATCTAGAAGTGGAATAATGCAGAATTGTTCTCAGTTTTAAATTTTATATTGTCTTGGTTTCATTGGCTGTTTAGACGTCACGTGTTCCTTCTATGGCTTCAGTGTTCATATTAATTTTGTTGTGTGGACGTCTGTGTGCTTGTTGCATTTTTGAAATGTTAACATCATACTTAATTCTTAATATGCATTTAAAGTACGCCAACAGTCCCACAATTAAACGCATTAAGTAAACACGCGAGGGGTACAAAAATGCATACATACATACAGAAATATATTCTAACGCCATAAAATGAATATGTGACGTCTACACAATCAATGAAAATGAAACAGCCGAGAATTCAAAAATCGAAAACAATTCAACTTTCAAATTTCTCATGAAGCTAGATGAATAGCAAAACATGCTAAATTTAGTTTTCGTATTTGTTACTTATTCAACACAAACTTATTCAACACAAACAGAACCACACACACATGCTTGTTTATACGTACGTATGCATATATATATATATATATATATATATATATATATATATATATATATATGTATTCTTATTTAGTGAAATATCAACTCTTCACTAAGTAGAACCATATTTTATAATAATTTAATGTTCCACATCCATGCTTGCTTGAGTGACTCTTGAACCCTTAAGAGAACTGCATTTCAACCCGCATATGGTGATATAGGAAAAAGAATGTTTTTTTTTTTTTTACTTTTGTGTTGTTTTATTTTCAGTGGATTACTTCTATAAGCGACTTGTTTAAACCAACAGCTAGATGTGTCCGACTGAAATTGAACACAACACTCGATTTATGTCAGATTTACCACAGATATTGATCTATATTTATATATATATATATATATATATATATATATATATATATATATATATATATGTTTTGAATTCAGAGTTGTCCCAGAGCAGTTGAAACAGCCTGTCGCCTCTGAGTGTTGACTTCAATATTCACTTTTCATGTCAGGCCCAATGACGGTATATATATATATATTCTTGACAAAATCCAAAGAAGAATCTGCAATATTGTTGGTACTGCCCTGGCATCTCGGATTCAGTCATTTTCCCACTGCCGTAACGTAGCTTCCTTGTGACATTCCTATAAATACTTTCCTGGTAATTATTCTGATGAACTTTCTGCTATGATACCTAGAATTTTATGAAGTATTACATTGGCGTCAATGTTTCATCATTTTACAGTTGAAATTATAGATGTAACCGTAAGTTCTATGCTAACAGTATCTGTTCTCGCACTTCTCACTTGTGGAAATCTCATCCGGCTTCTTGCTTCCCAGTCTACTTTAATCTTCAAAAATTTAAATGCAATGTCAATCCTTATCTTGTCTTCTTAATTCTTGTTCTTTTATTGTCCTCTCTCCTTAATAGTAGTTTTTTCTCATATATACTCTAACGACTTCGTCTTAGCGGCTTTATTTCCCTGTTAAGGCTGAAGTGTTTAATATATATATATATATATATATATATATATATATATATATATATATGCAGAATCAATGCTCAACATTCTTTAAACATTGTAGACTGGTTCTAAAGTTTTACAAACAATGAACTGTACCAAATAATCATATCACTTGACTGGTTCTAAAGTTTTACAAACAATGAACTGTACCAAATAATCATATCACTTGAGGACTACCAATAGCGGCAACAACTAAAATGGATAACACATGTAACTCGGAGAGAAGATAATGACATAATCAAGATGTTGACATTCAACTCTACTTCAAATA